GAATTTTTTGACCTTCAGGTAAAAATATTAAAACACACACACAAACACACACACACACACATTAACATTATAATAACAAAATATTAATTTTTTTTTTAAACTAATTATACTATCACATGGCACAGTTATGGTTCAGTGAATAGAATTTAATATTTTAGGTTACTTTTGTATAAATACCAATGCACTATATTTTTTGGTTTATTATAACTTTTTCATTTATTTTTAATGATTACTTGATTATACAAGTTTTTAATCATTCAGGTTTTTCTTACCTTTTGTTTTAACTTGAGATTTGATATTAGATTACATTCAATATTCAGATAAATGAAACTGGTTCTGAATAAACTTATCTTACTGAAATATAATAACAAATTTCTCAGAATATGATTTAAATGATAGCATTGTTTCTTTCTACATCATTTTTTATTTTAGTCATTAAATTTAGATTTAATTTGATAGTGAATTTAATGTTTATCTGTATCTATCATAATTTATTATTATGATTATAACAACATAAGTATTGAATTAAGTTTTATACTTAAAGGTTATAACAAAAAACAATCTAGTTTTAAATCTTAATAGAAAACCTTTAAGAGAATATCTTAAAATGAATTTTTAATGTATTATTAAACCACATTAATTTTTGTATATCTGTATTAACAGATATTATGCTAAACAGATTGTGTTGACTTAGAACATAACTTTAGATAAAGTGCTTTTTAGAAATATTATATTCACTTTTAGATTTGATAAATTAAAGCATGTATTTTGTAAAAAGATAGTATTTTGATAGATACAGATTTTCTTTTATGTAAATTTTAAGGAATATATAATATCAAATCTGTAAAGTGATAGGTTTTTTTAGACTACAAGAGATTGAACTATACCGATTTAAAATATAATTAACAAAATCAGATATTATCGAATAATAAGCCATTTAGTAATAGTAAAATGTTAAGGTTCAATTAGGCATGTCTATAACAGATGGTTAGTAGCCACTTATAATTAAACAGTTTAGTGCATAAAAAGTGTTTGGACTAGTACAGTTGAGCATGCAACATACTTAGTGTGAGGTTCCAAAAACGGGTTGAAATTAAACATTTATTATTATTAATTTATTAAAACGAAACTAGAAAAAAAATCGTCTATTGTTAAAAACTGATCAAAGATCGAATTAGTTCTAGCCATATGAAACTGTGACGAGAGGAAAAAAACTTTATTGATGTAAACAGAATGCAATAATTATAATTGATTAATAATTGTAAACGAACGACCTCCAGTGGAGATGGAGCTTTGATAAGTCACTCATATGCAAATAATTAGAAGATAGAAATTTTGAAAAGAGGAAAGGTTAATGATGAAAAGGGACGTCGTGTCGTTAAATTTCAAAAATGTCACAGACTAGACAACAACAATGGAAAATATGAGTGCAAGTTTCAAAGTTCCATCAACATTTTGTATCCAGAATAACGGATGGTGTCAAGTAGATCCTTCGAACTGGATCTTTCTGGTGACTCGAACAGGAATTGTCTTTCGCTTAGAGACAGACGAGAGACCAATCAGGGAGCAAGAAAAAAGGGATGTGGAGCCAATCGGAAGAATACAAAACAAAGAACAGAGATTGATATAATCCCCGATCTTCAAGGACAGATTCACTTCTTTCTGAAAACTGTGCACCTGTATACAGTTAGTCCACGCGAAAAAGCAGTTTTCCGTCGGTTGCACCCAACTTGTGACTATGGACTCAGACTGCTGACACCGACTGACAAATTTCCACACCTGCCGTTGCCCCGGGGCCTTCCTTCGAGCAACATTAGAAACACCTTCAACAATTCAAACCTCCAATTGTATAAAGAACATTTTTGTTCCTTAGTGTAAGTTTACTTTTATGTTTAAAATAAACAGGTTTTTGTGAGATTCTTGTCATCTGTGTCTCCTCCGCCACACCCACACGCGAATGACCCTAGATCATCCTGATGCGGGATTAACGATTCCCCCTGGAAGTCGGCGAACTTACATTAGAGATAGACAGATATAGGTGCAAGATTTAATTTTAAGGGGAGAATTTCCCTTCTACTTTTATATCTCCAGCTTTGCAGAAATGGAAGTATCCTAACCAGGGATAACTTTCTTTCTTCCTCTTATCAAATTTGTAGGGATCAAAAATTTTACAGCTTTGTAAAACTACAAATTTGATTTTACACAAACTACAAAAATTGTTTATAAGTGTAACAGTGTAATCAGCATTTGTGGTGTCTAAATTGTATGATTTTTTTTTTATTTAAACAGATACTGAAAGGGCTACATTTGGTCAGTAGCCATTTTATTTTGTTTTCCAATTTCACTCCTTACTTTTGTTTATTTATCTATTGCTGCCAGTACTGTTTAACAGCAATGTTTAGGAATACTTAAGGTAAATGAATAAAATATGCTTGCTTGACTTTTTGCTGTTGTAAAACCACATTGCACTTATTTCAGGTTATGCTGTCTTTAAGTTGAAGATTAAGTAACACATGACCCTTTTTAAATTGTCTTTTATGACCAATAAACAAACTTCAGTTATCCATACACATGCAAGACAACTAAAGAAGAGGATAAAGCTCAATGCTTTTATTTAGTGGTTTTTGTCTATTTTCTTCAGTTCCATAAGATATGTTCTTTTTGAGGGACATTGGATAGTATGCTTTGCTATGAATTGTCTCCATGAATTGTCTCCATACATTGTAAGCCTTTTTATACATAATGATTTATATTTCCTAATTTTCTCTTTTGATAGTGGTATCAAAATAATGTAATTCTTTTCATGTTTGAACTCTATGCAAAGATATAAATTATTGGTGTAGAATCTGTGAAGTGCCCCCTATTATGCTTCTGACACCACTGAGTTTTCTGGCAAACACAGAAACCTTGATTATACTTCTCCACATATTTGTGGAATGTGTGCGAGCAGTTATATATGGGGATGAATGTTGATGAATGGAGGAGGGAAAGTTAGAGAGACAGGGAGATCCAGAAATAGTGCACTTTACAATGTAGTGAAACATAAAAAAACCAACAATTTATTTGTAAAGGTCATCATTAATTTACAAGGTAACATAAATGGAAAATCTATTCTATAAGAATGTCAAACAGAGAGAGAGCATTTACAGATTGGATGCATGTCAGTAAATATTACCTGGATCAGTGAGTTGGTTTTGGACATCCTGCAGGGAAGGAAGGAGAGTCTCTTGCTGGTTATGGTGGGTCTTGAATCCAACAGACATTTAATTCCAATATTCACTGTGGATTTGATTGGTTATTTGTTTTGGCTAATTGCTGATTGATAGTTCGATGAGGCTAAGATCTGATGAAAATGGTGGGAAGTTGAGAAGATAGGCAGTGGAGCATGCTGGGGATAAGTGTGCACACAATTTTGACAGCCAAATTCTGTTGTCATCTATCCTTTTTTCTTTTATTTGAGGTCCTTTCCTGGCATTCTAGTGCCCTTTTTTTGGTAAAGTTGCTGATTGTTCCAATTTACGATTTTGTTGCTAGTTCCTTCTGTAGTAGTTATTCAGAAATTGTGTCATTCATGAAGGAAGTACTATCATGGGGAAAAGTTTATAAAGTTCCTTGATTGTGTTTGTGACATGGAATTTTTCTCCCTTATGGGTTTTTAACAAAATAAAATTATAAAATTAAATCAAGTTTTTACTAATTTTTAATTTGCATTAGCCCAGGTTTTCACATTGTCTTTATTAGTTATATTATTTTATCATTAATCTAAAATACAATTTATTATAAACACATCATCTACATAGTGGGCATACTAGATTATCACCTTCAACTCTGCAATATTTTCATCTAATCATATCAACTAATTCTTCTAGGTATGGGCCTATTACAGAACCCACACTGATTCCATCTAATTGTTTAAAATATACAAACCTATCAAACTGGAAAAACTATTTGGTACCATGAAAATCTGGTTTGCACAGGATTTACTATAGAAATTTTTAAAAAAGTTAAAAAAACCACACGCTTTTCAGTACAAAATGCCCTTAAGACATGCATTACATCAATGTTTCTCAAACTTTACCATCTAGAAGACCCCCTAGAGTAGAAATCAATTATTAAGATTTCATTTAAAGGATTTTATATTTTAAATTTAAATTTTAGTGGTGGTTTTAATAAAGGTAAGTTTTAAGAGAAGCATGCTTCTTTCTTCTGAGAACTCAGACCTTCACTAACATTTACAGACCCTGGGAGATCTGCAAATCACAGTGTGAGAAACACTGTTATCCAAATTATATGTGGTATCTGGGTAACAAAATATGAGTATCCAGATATGAAAATTTCTAGTATTTAGCACTAATCTATATATAGTACAGTAGAGCGTTGTTTATCTGAAACGTCAGTTAACTGAAAGTGTTCCAGTCGGACTGTCGTGCTGAATTGAACGTTTTTGATACTAAATTAACTTCCAAAATATAATTATTTTGTTTTTATATTTTTCAATATATTTATTTTGTTTGTACAAAATGAAGAAATAATTTTTAACGATACAAAGCCACAATTATTATAATAAAAATTTTCGTTAGGCTTAACATCGTTGTAAATTCAATGCGAAGTGACACGCAACAGAGAAAAATTTCAACCTGGGATAGATTAATATATTTTTTCTTATATAATCAGTTATGTGAAAAATAAGTTATCCAAACAACCCCAGTCCCCAATTGATTCGGATAAACAACATTCTATTGTATTTTAATGATTATACAAATAATTATTTAAATGAATATTTGAGAGAGGCTCTAAACAGAAAATTATTTTTAAATTTATTCTTAGGATTCTGATTACTTGCATGTCAAATTATTATATATTATAAATGCAAGTCAAGTTACTATAACTGTAATTTATATTGTGTGAAAATTATATACATGTAATAGATTAAATAAAATTGCTAGGATTTTTAAAGAAATATCAATGTTTGAATAATTATTAAATTTATTTTTATTTAGGTTAAATTTTCAGATTTACATTTGGATACAGTGATTGAAGATGAACCAAATCTAGAAGTCATTGAAGAACAGTCAAACATAAATGAAAATTGTAATAGATTTTCTGAAGACAAAAATTATTTATCTAGTTCATCACAAAATGATGATCACTGTTTAGAGGATAGTGGTATATTGACTGATCTCTCCGAATATCCAAATGATAACTTTTCAATTAATAAGAATGTAAAAGGATTAAATTCTGAGAATATAAATTCTGATATGCCTATTGATAATTCATTAAATTCCTGTAAATCACCAAAGCCAGAAAGTTTAAAAACACATAATGCAGAGAAAATTAGTAAAGCAGCATTTCAGAAATTGTTAGCATTTTATAATGGAATAGATGGCACTCATTTATCAAAAACTAAGAATGAAATGTTATCAAATGAAGCTGAGAAAAGAAATATTTCTGTTAGAAGATCAAATAGTTTTACTGCAAAACATATATCGATGTTTGAGGGAGGAGAAAATCTATTAATTGATCATCAAAGAGAAATGGACGAAATGAAACGGCTACATTCACTTGAATATCAAGAAATGAAAGAGAAATATAATGACAGAGTGGAAAATCTTTTGCAGAAATTAAGTGATGCTAATGCAAGGTTTGTTCATGTGCATGTTTTTATGGTAAGCTTGGTAATGTATATATGGTGGAAATGAAATGAATATTTCATTCCATTTATTGTTTGAATGATGGCTGAATGTTTGTTTGCACTGTAGCAATTCCTTTGTACTTTAAATATAAAAGCTTTTCTAGTTTGCAAATATGTAAAAAAAAATTAATTTAAATTTTAACTTATGCAAAATAATTTCGTATAAGTATATATCCAAGAACTGTAAAATTTGTTACAAAATGTTTTAAAATATTGGAAAAAATTTAAGTATTTTTTTTAAAACTTCTATAACTGGATTGAGCAGCTACTATTTATTCATTATTAAAATTATACTTTTTTAAAAACTTGAGAAATGTGTATTTAATTGAAAATAATTCAGAAAAGTAACTTTTCTTTGGATGATATTCATTTTGATACTGTAGATTTAAAAAAAATTCTTATCCATGCTACAGTACAACCCCATTTGTCTGGACTCAAAATCCAGATATTAAATTGTGCATTTTATTTCAAAAGAAAAACCACTCATAAGTAAGAGAACCTGTTAATTTGTTAAAATAGGTCAGTTATTGTTAAATCTGTAATATTGTATTTATTTAAAGTATTTGATTGTACACATTATATATTTGATTTGAAATACTGATATATATGTATGAAATTACATATATATATAATTTGAAAATATTTGTTATATTCAAATTACTGGTATATATATATATTTAATTTTCAGTATTGTTTTTTTTTTTTTTTTATACTACAGATTAAAAAATATGAAAAAGTTGTCATTGGATAGTCCTATAGTAATCATTTGCATATAGTATAAATATAAATGAATAGATTATCATTGCAATTTTCATAGATGTAATTAATAATGAGTGTGTATTTTGCATTAAACTTGAAGAGTATATAATTATAATGTGAATTACTAAGTTAGTTTTTATTCATATTTAAATTTTTGCAGTTTTCATAAATAATGGAGATGGAATTTAATAACTTTTAAATAAATGTTCAGTTTAATGTGTAGAAGTAAAATTTTGTGGATTTAATAAATAAATTGTATCATATTTTTGTGTGACTGCTGTTTTTGGAATAGTTTAGTTTTTGAGTTGGAGTTCTATTTTTATTTATTAAAAATGCATGATAAAGAACAATAATTCTTAAATTCTTTCATATTTTTAAAAAATTTAATTCTAAGTAATACATCATTTTAATTTGGAATACTGATTATAAATACAGTCAAACCTCAAGTGTAGTGCCTTCCTTATAAAGTACCAATGAAGATGTGACTGAATTTTTCTGCTTAATATTAGAGAATCCTTTATCTGTAAATTGTTAACTATTGGTGATAACAATGCTGTTTCCATTGAAAATGGCATTGTATCAAGTTATGTTACTTTAAAACACTCATATTCAAACTTACAGTTAGATTCATTACTCAAATGATTATTGTTTCAGGTACTTCAGCTTCATTCCAAACTTGATTTAATGCCAATTTTCGATACAAGTAAATGGCAGTACCAAATTGAAGTTTTGACTGTATTTTTGATTATATGTTTTCTAATATATACTAATTGCTATTCTTAATTAAAATTAGCTTTTTATGTATACATAGCAATTATTTGTAGTCTACCATAAAGAATAAATTTGCTCTATTAAAATTCTTCTCTGTTTCCGTTAATAGCGCATTACAGGTAGTTGGAAAGAGTATATATTTTAAAGAGGACATTAAGCAAAAAAAAAATATGTGTATATTTTTTATTCAGCAGATTAAAATCTACTCTGTATAAACAGAAATGATGTTAAATGCTCTATTTGAAAGAATAGAACAAACAGTAAGAATACTAAATCATTTAAAATCCATTTATCATAAAATAAATTGATTATGGATTAGTTTATTATATTATATTTATTGATATAAATATATATTATATCAATAATTCATAATCAATAATAATTCATAATCAATAATTCATAATCAATAATTGTAAATTTATCAATGTGACAACAAATTAACTACACTGATTAAGGCATTCATTTTTAAAATATTACAATAGAAAGAAAACTACTTTGCAATTGAAATAATTATAATGATAATGTATAACTGCATAATTATATTTCAATGATGATACTGTATAATTATGCAAAAAATTAAATTTTTATTGAAATTCAATATAATGTTAGATATAACCTTTTAGCATCAATTTGTTTAATTTTATTAAATACAGTATTGTAAGTTCAAATTGTTTTAGAATTAGCTGTAATAAAATGAAATTCTATAAATATCTTAGTAAGAGTTTAGCATAAAAATTAATTTAGTTAGTTTAATAAAAATCTGCCATTAAGACTTGTTTTTATTGTATTTCTCTAAAATAGTTTTTTAGATTTTTGAATATTTTGTTATAAATTTTAGTTTAATTTTTAGATGATTTTATTTAACTTTTATAAATTTATATTTAATAATATAAAGTCAAAAATATAGCTGAAAACCTGAAATTGACAGTTTATATGCAATAAAAGTTACAGGTTTAAAATTATGTAAAAATAGTAGTATTCAAGTAAACTGAATATAATGCCAGTTTTAATTTGAAGTTTATAGCTAAGAATATGGAAAACAAAAAAATATTTAAAAAAAATAAATTTTACAATGTAATTATTTAAAGAAACTTTGCAAGTGTTTTTATGATTGTTAGTCAGAATCGTTTGTTCCACTAGTTGATAATTCTCTGAAATTATGCAACAGTTGCTGTGAACACATGAATTGCTTAAGTAGATAAGAAATGTCAGACTGAAGAAAACATTTAATATTGTATCCACTCTATTATTCATTTACATTCATTGGAATTCATGTATATAAACAATTTTTATTATTATGAATCATAAAAGCAATTTCAGATTTTAATTGGAATTTCTTTTTAAATTTTTTTATTTCTAAATATATTATAATTGGTGGTGGTAATTGAAATTGGAGGAAACTATGAAGGTACTTAAGGAAGAAGGAATATTTTAAAATTTGAAACTGATTTTAGATTTTATAGTAATTTTTTTGATGTACATGAAGATGGTTAATACTAAAAATCCTAATTAATAAAATATTTTTTGCTTCAAATACAAAATATTCAAATTTTCAATTTCAGGTTTTTATCTCCAGAAAAAAAGATATTTAGAACAAAGTAACATTTTCAACTATTTTTAATAGCTATTATTAAGTTATAAATTTAAATCCTGTAATTCTATAATTTCAAGGCTTGGCCTGTTAACATATGACATGGAAAAGTTTNTTTATACTTAATAAAATGATTAAACAATCCATCTACATTTATTGGATATATGTTTTCTATCAGTATTGTCTATCATATATATATATATGATAGACAATACTGATAGAAAACATATATCCAATAAATGTAGATGGATTGTTTAATCATTTTATTAAGTATAAAGTAAATATAATAGATATATTATAAACAACCTTTACTTTTTTATGAATTTCCCATTTGAAATAGAAAAACTTTTAACTTAAAACTAAATCACATATCAGTAATTCATACTTATTTGTTTAGAATTACAGGATTTAAATTTCTAACTTAATAATAACTACTAAAAATACCTGAAAATTAGTTTGTTTTATAAATGTTTATCAGCAGTTAAAGGTTTGAATAATATTTCAGTATCCAGTTTATTTGATTTTGAATTTATAGCAGTTCATTTTTATTGTAAATAAAAATGAGCTTTTTTCTTTACAAATAATCTTTTGTAAAATATATATATTAAGTAAATGTTTAGAAGAATGTTACTGTAAATTTAGATTAACTGTAATAAGATTAACTTAGAATGTTACTGTAAATTTTTTAATTTACAGCAACATTCTAAGTTAATCTTGCTTATTTGAAAAGTAAAACATCTAATACAGAAATAAGCATAGAAATATGTTCAATATAATATGCAAATCTATATGAATAAATTTAATCAATTCAATTCTTCATACAACATATAAAATTAACACTCAAAAAACCTTAACAGTCCAGTACTAAATATTTAACAGAAAACAAATGTTTTTGATCGTACTTTTGGTCTTCTTCAAGTTCAAAAAAAGGTTTGGTCTTGTGCTGTTCCAGGTTGTTTGAAAATAATCTCGTAATTTTTGTTCTTCAAATTCACTTGTTCGAATCTCACTGGTTTTTTTTAACTTGAAGAAGCTCAAAAGTACGGTCGAAAACGTTTGTTTTCTATTAAATATTTAGTACTGAACTGTTAAAGTTTTTTGAGTGTTAATTTTATATGAGTTCCAGTATTTGTGTACGAAGGTTTTTAATTTAAACATATAAAATATTGTTTCCATAAAAAAAAATATGAAATAATCTGTTTTTGCTAATATATACATGGTTTGACAATAAAGTTCCAGGACTTTTATGCTGGTACCTGGAAAGTCACTGCAACAAATCGTGGTGAGGATTAGTCAAAGTAGTCTCTCTTATATTCGATGCGGAGCTTTTTCCGCTTCACAAGGTTTCTAGAACTGGTTTTGAAGTCATTCTCTAGAATGCACTTAAGTTGTACTGTTATGGATTTCTTGATATTTTGAACAGTTCTGAAATGCTGTCCCTTCAGTGCCAGTTTGAATTTGGAAAATAGGAAGAAATTAGCAGGAGCCAATTCTGTGGAATAAGGTGGATGGATGAACCTGAGGACCCTGTGCTTCACACCCATGCTAAGAACTGTGTCACAATTAAGCCTGAATGAGGGTGAGCATTGTCATCCAGGAGGAACCAGCTGTTGTTCTCTCGCAGGTGTGGTCTCACATGATGAATGCTTTTCAGTATTTGATCAAGATCATTGCAAATATGCTCCAGTCTCCTCTAAACAACTAGTTGACAGACATCCACATTTTGAGTCATCACAAATGTCCATTGTGAAATTGGGTGTACCATTCAAACACATGACCGTGAGATAGGGCATTCTTATGGTAAACAATTCTGATCATTTCATAAGTCTCTGTTGCTGATTTTCCTAACTTACAGCAAAACTTTATGTTTGCTCTTTGTTCCAGGTGGGAATCCATGACAATGGGAAGAATGGTATCTTTGATGACTGATGTTTAGAAGCACAGATGCTCTCTTTTCCAAATCTTCACTTGTCCTGCAAAAGAGGAATATCAAAACTTTAATCTGACATGTTAAACATTTTCATTTTTCTGTCATTAGCAGTAACAGAGTACCAGCATGTCCTGTAACTTTATTGTCAAGCCTTGTACATTAATTTTTTCACTGTAATTAAAATATTTCATCTATAAGCTTCAGATCGCAATGTAAATTATATATTTTAGTTTTTAATAAAAAAAATTTTACTGCTTTTCTGGAAAAGATAAATTCTGCAGATTATAAAAGTTTTAATTCTAAAATCAATTCGTTGTTGAATATATAGAAGAAATATTTACTAGAATCTCGAATACTTGTAGTTATAAATATATGGAATATAAACAAATTAAAAACATGTTACTTAAGATTTTGTTGTGTGACTTAAGTTAAAATACTTGTAAGAGGCATTTCATAAGTCATGGCAATTATTTTTTTATCTCAAAAAAAGTAAGATATATTTTAGAAGCATAAATGCAAAAACAACTATTACAAAATTTTTTAGATGAATTTGAAATTGTTTCATACAATAGTAATTCCATAATGATATGATCAACTGAAGCATCTCTTGAGAACTGCTCAGATTTTTGAGTCTGAAAATAGCTTTTCTTCTTCAAATGAGATGATATCTAAAAATTGCTGCTAAATGTGGATTAACTGCAAAACAATATAATGAGGAATTAGTAGAAGCCAAAGACGACAATGCTTTTCCATATTAAACAATTGCATGATGATGCAATACTTTCAAAGGGAAAGATATTGAATGGCAGATGAACAATGTAGATAGTATCTCCTGACAACAATTAAGTTTGTCAATTGCAACCATTGTGCCTTGAGATTGATCAGTAATAGAGCTGCATTAATTTAGAAGCAGAGATTAATCTTACTATCAATACAGTCCATCACATTCTTACAAAAATATCACATAAAAAAAAAAGTTTGCTCTCAGGTCTTGATGGATGTGTAAAAGTGAACATACTATGAAGCTTGCTGCACATATTACATTCACTCAGTTTGGAATGGCTGGAATTGAAATGTTTTATGAACAAAAACAAATTTTCTCTGCGTATTAGGGTCAGAAGTATTATTAATTATGATTTCCATTTTTAAAGTTTCACATATTTCCTCCCATGCATTTTCGTTCTTGATAGTGTTAATTGTGGTAAAATGTTGTAAATACTTGGATACTGCTGAATTAAATTTATTAACGTCTTGTCATCAATCATTTTGAATAATAAAACAAAACCAATTGTGAACAAAAAATTTTCAACAAACAGGAACAAGCATGTGTGTGCAATGAATGATGCAATAAAAGGAAGTTGTCATTATGCCTGACAACTTCCTTTAGAATAAGTCAAAATATTCCTCCTCCTGAAAATAGATTCTGATATGATTTGATTGATGTGATATTTTGCAATCTGATTTGAATTAGTGTGTTGAGATTCCATTTAAATACTTATTATTAAAAAATTCTTACCATTCCAATTTGATCTGATCTGATAGTGTGTGGGGCAAGCATGAGACTTGTTAGAATCTTCTAGAATATTACAATAATGGAGATAACTTTCTGCCTTAAATTTTTATGAAGAATGAAACATGGTCACTGCTTAAGAGTCAGAATTAAAATGGCAATAGGGAGAATGGCATCATCCTGCACCACCAAGACCAACAAAAGTTTTATAAAACCCTTCAAGCATGAAAGTTTTGGTAATTGTTTATGATCATAAAACTTAAGTTATTTCTTAGTCATATTGTCATCAGGATTTACAATCATGACTAGGAAAAATTGGTCCACAGAATTATGACACTACTATTTCACTGGAGAAAACATATGGAATACATGGGAGACTACTTTAAAGGATGTTTGATAAGGTGAGTTGTCATTTTATTGCATCATACTATAATCTGGCATAAGTTTCTTATATTGCTTCATAATTTTTAGTTTCCTCATTGCCAGCGAAATGTATGTGCAACATCAACTTCATGGCATCACTGACAGGTCTATTATAACTAGTTTTGTCAAATTTGTGCAAAGATTTAGATACAATATCAATTAAATTTTTGTATTTACTTTCAGAATCTGTCATATTTTGAAGAAAAAATATTGTTACCATGACTTATTAAATGATCCTCATAAATATAATTTGAATATTGAACATATTTAAGTGGAAAGGTATAAAATATTTTATTATATATTCTTATGAAGCTATATTATAATCTGCTTGAGTTTATTGTAGTCTCTAAAGGAAAATAGAAACACTTCTGATGATAATATACATTAAAAAAATATATCGAGAGATTAAATTTCTCTTGCTTGAGGTTGAAAAGAAGAATTTTTATATACACAAAGAACCTATACAACAATAAACAGATACACTTCAGGAATGTTTTCGTCTGTCACATTATTCCTTAGTCACATAGTTGGATATGTGGATGACAAATTAATTAGTGAGAGGTCACTATTTACATCATGAAAATTAGTTACAGGAATATGACTAAGAACTTCAACAATTTGAATTTAAATATGAAATATTTTGTTCTTTGTATGTGTATATTTATGTCTTGAGAAAGAAGGAATTATGATTCAAGATCAAACCAACACAAAAAATTGTCAGTGTGATACAATTTATTGTAATACCCTTCTTGCTAAATGACAGAATTGTATATACAGTAATATATGAATTTTAGATCTATATAAGATTCTATTCATTACAAAATATAAGAAATTGTTAAATTCAGATATCAAATAAACAATATTTTGTAGTAATGTTTAAAATAGAAGAAATATTTACTAGAATCTCGAATACTTGTAGTTATAAATATATGGAATATAAACAAATTAAAAACATGTTACTTAAGATTTTGTTGTGTGACTTAAGTTAAAATACTTGTAAGAGGCATTTCATAAGTCATGGCAATTATTTTTTTATCTCAAAAAAAGTAAGATATATTTTAGAAGCATAAATGCAAAAACAACTATTACAAAATTTTTTAGATGAATTTGAAATTGTTTCATACAATAGTAATTCCATAATGATATGATCAACTGAAGCATCTCTTGAGAACTGCTCAGATTTTTGAGTCTGAAAATAGCTTTTCTTCTTCAAATGAGATGATATCTAAAAATTGCTGCTAAATGTGGATTAACTGCAAAACAATATAATGAGGAATTAGTAGAAGCCAAAGACGACAATGCTTTTCCATATTAAACAATTGCATGATGATGCAATACTTTCAAAGGGAAAGATATTGAATGGCAGATGAACAATGTAGATAGTATCTCCTGACAACAATTAAGTTTGTCAATTGCAACCATTGTGCCTTGAGATTGATCAGTAATAGAGCTGCATTAATTTAGAAGCAGAGATTAATCTTACTATCAATANTTTCACATTATTTAGTTTTGTTTTATTTATTGCTTTATATTTTTTGTGTGATCTATTTCTAGTGTGAGAAAGGGGGGCCCGTAAGAAGAAAATGTCTAGAGCCCCAAAGTGGGTTAATCCGGCCCTGTTGTAAACAGAGAAGGAACAAAAGAAGTGCCAACCTCGCTAATTGGATCCACATGTGGTCTGGTGATTGACCACTTGCTCAATGGTGAACTCCTGGCTGTAAACAAGTGGATCAGAATATCGACAGACATAAATGTAAGCATCACTCTCGTCTGAAAAGCGGACCTGGGTGAAAGCTGTTTGTGCAAGGGAGGTTTGTGATTGGTTAGAAGTTTCCTCCAAAAAATCCTTAAATTGCAGAGCAAACAGGAGAGGGGAGAGAAGAGCAAGAGACTGGTAACACTGAAGTCTCAGGTACTTGGGAAGCCCGCTGAGCTTAGAAAGAGCATACTCTTCTGGTAACTATCTCAGGGACGGTTAAGTGCAAACCGTGCAGTTGAGCCACTCCACAGGCTAACTGAGGCCTCTCCAAAGCTTAATAGTCCCCGGAAGCCAATCTAGTATATGAGGCATCACACTTTGTGTATCCTGTATTTACTATGTTTTCCAACTTGTATACTCCATATATACATATATTGTAAATAAACTGTAAATATTATCTATCTTGAGTGTGGAGGTGTACTTTCAACGAACCTGGATCAAACATCACAGTATATCGAGTTGTAACAAATACGGCAAACCAACTCAATGAGATAGAGTTTGGGGAAGAAACTTCACTAATACATCATTAGAAATTCATTTAAAATTTTAGTAAAAATTATATACCTGGTTTAACTGTTGGAACATACCGACATTCAACAAGAGTAATAATTTGTTGACATTTCACAAGTCTTGGTTTTAACTAAAAATAATAATAATAAAAACTGAAATGTATTTGTGAAGGCTTTTGCTTTGAATTACTCTTTTTACCTGGAATTATGAATATAAATTTGTCTGTTTAAAATTTATCATCTAGTTACGTGTTTCTATTCAGTCCAGATATGCAGGGTTGTACTATAGTTAAATGGATTAAAAACAAAATAGGCTTTGATGGCTATATACTGTAGGTATAAAGTATATGTTGACAGCTAGGACTGTGTTCGTCTTAGGTTTGCAAGCAGAAAGAAAACTGTACATATAGAATCAACAACACAGCCGCACAAGTCGCCTCTTCCCCAGTAAGTACATAATTTGCATGGCATTACCTATCCAAAGCATCTACTGTTTTTTATCGTTGATGATTATGAATGAATGCCTGGCAATGTTTATAAATTTTAATTTGTGTAGAATTTTGAAAGTACTTTAATTTATTTTCAAAATATATTATTATTATTATTAATTTTTTCCTGCATTGAATATATAGTAGCTGCATCCTTTTTAACTCTATTTATTGCATGATAAATTTCAGCATGACAATTGGGATATGTATTCTGTATTCTAAAGGTAGATATAAAATTGTATTCTTTTGAATGATGTACTGTGTATTTCATTTTGTGGTTTTAAAGTTTTAAAACTTTTATAAATATATTTATAAAACCTGCTTATAATGACAAAATAAAATTTTCTTTGTTTTTATCTTTTAGATATATGGAACTAAGACCTGCATTTGATCGAGCCCAAGATAAAATAAGACAATTAGAATTACAATTAGAAGAATTTAAAAAAGAAATGGCTGCTCAAGAAGAATGGCATAGTCAAATGTATTTGAAAATGTATAGGTAATAAACTTTATTTGTAAGCAAAACAATATTCACTTTAAGTTACTAATCACATTCATTTGACAGAAGTGGTTATTGCAAACTAAACAAATCAAAACATTAAATAATTAAAATCTTTTTATTTGTAATAATTGCTTCTCTCAATAATAATTTAAGTGGAGATTTCTAATTCAATATGTACTGTAATTACTAATTCTTTTCTCTGTGTTCCTTTTTTTAAAATACAAATAATTAATTTATCGGTAAATCATAAGTTTAACTGACTGAATTGTTATAATTTGCATTGAACTATAACAACTGTCTGAATTTAGTTAATTCTCTCAATGAAATGTATAATTAATTCCAAACAGGCTATTGTCAATATATAACAATAATCAACCCATATAGCAGCAAAGATTTAATAAACATTTGAACATTTTTGATCATGTTTAGTGATCATCATCAGATTACAATTTTTCAATTAATTTAAATAAAAGTTCATTATAACAATGAATAACATAAAGCTTTACATAAAATATTTGAATGGAATAAGATTCATCAATTTATTTATTTGGTGTTAAGTTTAAATAATATAAGTAATAATAACTATCTTATCTTTAAAATTTCTAGTAAAAATTGTTTAATTTGTATTTTAATATGATTATATTTTCTAATTTTAGTTTTAAATAATTATATGACTGTTAGAAAATATATAGTTGCATCAAAAATTGAAATATTTTTGGAATAAATAACATTGAGTTAATCATATAAACCATTTGAATACTGTATTTACAATTATATTCAAAAGAATATCGAAATTTATAGGTTTTATAAATGAATATTGCTTAAACTTGATTGACTATTTCAATAATGATTAAAATTAATATTTAAGTTAATGAATGAAAAATATTTTAATATTAACTGCTGCAGTTGTTTTAGCAAGTGTTAGTAACTCCTGTCAATGCAAAGATATCAGAAATATTTAGTGTATATAAATTTTGATTGTTAAAAAAATATACTTGTATTAAATTAATTGTTGTTATTGTTGAATTATTTGTGTTAATATTTTATTAATTTTATCAGTGGTGTGCTGTGACATTTTATAGTAGGGAAGCTGTGTTTCTGTAAGAAGCCGACTTCCAGGGGCAATTAGTTAATTGCACATCAGTGATGGTCAAGGGTCCATTCGTATTGTTTGTTCGATAAGCCAGTAAAAACCGTAGACTTCTCTAAATGTGTTTTTAATATCACAATTACATTCTGAATCACTAGCACGATAAAAGGGCTAAAATTACAAATAAAATAATAAAAACTTACTTGGTGAAATAAAATGTGTGGTAGATGTACAGTACAGTGCATACCTGGTACAAAATATTCTTCAATTATATTAATATACTTTGAAAGAAAATTATAATTAAATATAGCTTTGTAAAGAAACGTACATAAAAATAACATAAAATCTTATTTACAATTNAGGAAACAAAGAGAGAAAAAGGACCTGAGGGCCTGAATGAGGAGGAGTAGAACATTCTTTCAAAGTGAAAGGACATAGAAGATGGTGCTCCATGTCTTCAAAAGCAGCTAGACTGGAGAAGCAGAACTAGCTTGACAAGGATCAGTAAACTTATCATAGTGTGAAAATCTGAAGAGGGGACAATTAAGTTAATCCCTTAATTAATTAATTAAAGTAATATTCCTATCCAATTCTAATACCCCACTGAGAAAAAAAGGGTGAACAAAAAGTCAAACAGGGAAAGGATGACAAAGTGGAAAAAACCCACACATATCCTATTTCTCACAATTTCATAACAGATAAAACCAATCAAATATCTCTCCAAGTTAATAATTATTACTAAGGTTGCAATACAAACCCTGACCTTAGTCACTACCACCATTAATTCTGTTTGTTTGACAGCTGTTATCAATTTTATGAGGCAAAATGAGTAACAATACCAGATGGAAAGAGGTAATAAATTTGTCAAAACGTTCGATTTCTGACAATTAACATAAACAACCCACCCAGACCTAAATCGAACTTGGACCACATTGCATCAGAACTCCTCCCAATAGTTCCCCTGTGAGACAAGTATAAAAAAGGATACCCGCACCTCGGGGCGATCGTCAAAAGGAAGCGTCTAGGAGGAAACTCTATTCAGACCTCTACCCTATCGAAGGACTGCTCGGGACTTGATCAGTATAGAAATAATTACTTAACACTGAGGTAAACTCTCTCTTTTAGAATAGTTTATAAGTTAGATTAATGTCAACTTCGCTAAATAGAGAAATTTAATGGAAGGACAGACCACTGGAAATGCACCGGCAGGACCAGTTGATGTTTACCTTTGTTGTTGGGTTGTTAAATGTTGCACTATTAAGGGATAATCAGGGAGTCTGTATCATACATTATGCTTCTGTATTCTTTTTGTAACAGTTTTGTGTTTATTAAATATGTTATTCTTATGCTTAAATATGTGTCATCCTTGAGTGCGGCCAACACCTTATCATGACCTTGCTAATCCTCCTACTCACTTACAACTTAAGCCATTCCATGACGCGAAACCAGTAAGAAGGGCCTGAGCTCATGGCTCGACCCCCTCAGTTCTCACAATAGTGATGATACAACAAGTTTCGAGTAGATAGAAGGATAAAAGGGAAGATGATGATGAGCCATCAGTCCGAGTGAGTTCCACATGCCTTCCACTGAAAGTGTGCAAAGTTCCACACATCCTGGGTATTTCATCTTTTCCTATAACCTATGTTACTATTTATCACTTTCCTTTTTTTGACTTCCCTTTTTCCTTAGTTTAAGTTAGTTTGTAAATACTAGTTATAGCGTTTCCTGTTACCAGTCTCCTGGTATATGTTGCAATGTGTGTATTCTTGTCATTTGTTCATCAATAATTTTGTTATCACTGTATTACCATCCTTTGCCATTGAGTTGGAATCCAAAAGAATCTGTATCTTTTCCACAAAAATAAATACTTTATTTAACTACATACTGTATGTGAGGTTCCAGAACAGATCAGAACTAAAATTTAATTTCAAGTTAATTAAAAGCAAAAATGTTACTGTCAAGTTGGACCAAAGGTTATGTTAGTTATTTAAGAGAGAGAGAGAGGGGAGGAAAAAAAAGCTGTAGTTGTCAAAACAAATGTGATGCAAAGATGCATGACTTAATGGATCAGATGGCATGTCAGTCTGGGAAGGTAGAACTCTGACACAAGCACTCATAAACAATCGATCTAGGTTAAAGATTTGGAAAAGGGGAAAGATTTGATAGATAGAAAAACATCATGTATGATCATTAAAGTTCCAAAACAACAGAAAACAGAAACAATGGACTAAATTATGAGTGCAAGGCTTATAGTTCTATCAACAATCTCTGATCAGAGTCGAAGAAAAGGTATCAGATAGATGCCTCGAATCGGATTGTTCTCGTGACCCAATCAGGTCGTGGTTTTCACCTAGAGACAAAGGAGAGACCAATTGAGAAGTGAGGAATGGGACGTGGGCCAATCAGAAAAACTATAAAAATTGGTAATTCAAGATCAAACAGAGTGTCACCCTCTGGATTACAATCACTTAATTCATATAACATCAAAATCTTGCCGTGTGTCTTCCATCTTCCATCAGACCAAACATCACACCTCCATCAGGCGCTCATCAACGCCAAAGCCGAAGACCAATGAACTCTTCTTACCTGCCCTGTGGCTGCACACGTCGTACAAGTGCAACATCCAACCAGAGATACCTCAAAACACCAAGATCTTTGTACTTGTCATATATATAAGCATCCTTCGGTCTCAATAAATGGTTTTCTTTGTAAAATACTTGTCATCACTGTTTCTGCCACCACCACCCACATGTAGATGACCCTAGCCTTCCAGACATGGGATTAACTGATTTCCCCCTAAAAGTCAGCAAACTTACATATGCATAGTTATTTGTTTGGTACATTCTCCTTTGTCGGTTAATGATTATTTCGATGCAACTTCACAGTTAATCTTGGAAATAGCAGTAGTTCTGTTTGACTTTACTTACCTTTTCTTTATTGAACTGTAAGATTCTATAACAGTGTTTCCTTCTGCCATCAAGTAGGTTATGCCTACTACTCAAGTTTTTGGGGATTTTTCTGGATCAATAGTAAATGTTTATTTCTATTTTCGTTTTTAATTACTTTATTTATCAATGCATCTAATAATTTTTAGGGTAATCATTAAACATAAATATTTTTACTATTTGTTGTATTTCTTTTTCCTGGTTTTATATTTTACTAGTTCTACTTTTAATTTTATCTATATACATTTTAAATATATTATACTTTATATTTATTGTTCTATGGTATTTTTTTATGTTAGTTTTGTTTCTGTGAACACCGTAATCAGTTCTGAGTACATGATTATCTATATCCCATTGTGGTGAGTGGTTGTTCATATTTATTGGTACATTTGATTTATAGTTAATTACTTTAGATACTTGCATAGGTTTAACATATTTTTTATACTCTAGTCCAGTGGTTCCCAATTAGTTTTTCCTGTGTACCACTTCAAGAAAGAGTTCAAACTCGCATACCCCTTATAACAGAAATTCATATTAATCCATACTAATATTATAAATTCAAAGGTAATTCTGTCTATCTGTCTGTCACCTTTTCACATCTAAACTGCTGAACAGGTTTTAATAAAATTTGGCACAGAGATAGCTTACATGTTGGAGATGGACATGGGCTACATTTTACTGCGAGAAAATATCTTATTCCCACGAGAAAATTCAATATAATGCGGGCGAAGCTGTGGGTAGACAGCTAGTGATAAATATAATAAGTTTTTTTTACATTTATTACCTTTAAAATACAATTCTAATAATAATGAAAATAACATAAGGTTATTTAATTTTAATGTGACAAATGTGCACGATTTTCTTTGCACAACTTTGTAAAATCTGGTTGCTTTTTGGTCAGCTTCAGTCTCAAGTCATCTTCAAGTTGAAATCGGTGACGATGTTTAGTTTTCATGTCTGTCATGGCCAAAAATCCGCTTTTGCAGAGGTATGTTGTGCAAAATGGTAGTAAATATTTTATTGCTGCTTTGCTGACATGATGATAATGATAATTGTACAATTAACACAGTTTGTGTTAATTGTTCCTTTTTGGAACAATTAACACAAAAGGAACAATTTTTGTTCCTTTGCATAAGGAACAAAAATTGTATTTGTTTCTTGCATAAGGATTTCATTTACGTATTGTCACAAATGCATTGTTTTTAATGAAATTTCGAGAATATTTTTAGTTATAAATAAACGAATTTGTGCATTCAACATTATGTTGTAAATTGCTGAATTTTTGATGGTCCACCCATTATTTTTTTGATTGCTTCATCTCATGCATTTAAATTTTAAATTGACCGATTTTAGATTGCCGCACGTACCCCTTCAAGCAATTTCGCCTACCCCCAGGGGTACACAAAATTGCTTGAAGGGTAGTACCACTAATTGAGAACCATTGCTCTAGTCTATCTTCTATCTTGTTTTTTTTATGTATTGTAACATTTAAATAATTTATACTATTTTGTTTTTCTGTTTCAAATTGTATATTTTCCTTAATTTGGTCTTCTTGTATCATTATTCATTTCTTATTTGTTTCCATTTTGTCAAAAAATAAAGTAATTAAAAATGAAAATAGAAATAAACATTTTGATGATGATAAAAAATGTGTGAAATTAAATTATATTCCTAAATTCTTTGAAAGATTAAAGAAACTATTAAATAATAAAATAAATTTAATACTCAAGAAAAATGATTTATTTAAAAAAACATTTATATTATAGAAATAATGAAAAAACTGAAATAATAGAAGAAAAAGTAGTAGTTGTGAACCAGATAAAACATACATAGGTAAAACAAAAAGAAAACTTAAAATATGTAGAAAGGAACATATCAGATCAATTGAGGAAAATTAAGAAAATTCAGAAGTAGCCAAGCATTATAACAAAGTAGAATGTGAAATTAATTTAAACATGATAAAAATAAAGAAAAAAAAAAAAAGAAATGGATTTAAAAGACAATTATTTGAACATGTTTATATAAAAAAACAAAGTAACAGAATTAATGATAATTTAGGAAGAGAAATTTGCCAATCATGAAAAAGTTTCATTTATAGAGAATGAGAATTTATAGATGGCATAATGGGTAGAAAAATATTTAAAATAAAAATAACAGTGGAAAAGATAAAAGAAATAAAAAATAAGAATATGAAAAGATGTCAAACCATCAGTTAGTAAATAATTTTTAACATTTTAAACAAAACTAATTTTTTAATAGTTTTAGTATTTTATATGGGCATAAATTTAAAAAAGTTACAATAAGTATATTACACTCTGTTTTTTGGATGCTTTATGTCAGTATTAGTGTTGTATTAATATTGGACAGTAAAGAAAATGTAAGTAATTTTATCTTATCTGAAATATTGTCAGATGTAATATCATTGTTTAAAAAATTTTTATACAATTGTTATAGAATATTGTAAACCTGCTAAAGAGGGGCCTACAGGTCTTAAACACATAAAAAAAGCGTGCAGATGAAAATAAATATATTTTGTTTTGACTAAGACTTCCTCTCTTTGCTAATCAGAAACTATACCAGTATAGTAAGTCCTATCTATAAACAAGGTCCAAGTAGACAATACAGAAACAAAAAAATAAAACATTAAGGACATAGAGGTAAAAATAATTAATTTGTTAAATTAACTTTAATATTACATAAACAATTTTTTTTATTAAATTTTCAATTGCAAATATACTTACAGTTTTATTTGTATCATCCCATTCCAGGTCAAAAAAAAATAATCCTGAAGAACTAAGTTTTGGATATAAAAATGCAGCTATACTATAGGCATCATCTAAGAAATATAAATTCAAAAAATATCTAATTAAAAATTTGTAAATATATGTTTAAAAAATTCCTAACATTACACAATTTATCATAATAATAAATTTTATTGCTTGAATTAAAAAATTTTACAATTGGAAGTTATATATAATATATATATATATATATATATATATAACCTCCAATTAACTAACATAAACTTGTGAGTGTTATGTTGGCCTTTCTTTATTACTAGATTATTACACCATCACTCAACATAGCACTCACAAATTTATACCAAGACTAGACAAGAAGCATATAATAGTAATTAATTAGCATGTTCATTATCAAGTTAAATCATTGAATATAAGTTGATAGATATAAAAAATATTCATATTAAATAAGTTTTACTTTAATACAAAATATAGCTAAATTTTCTAAGAATTTTAGTATAAAAAATTATTTCTATTAAAATACCTTCATATTTCCTTAACAACATTGGTGAAGAATGATTTGCATTATTTATTTCTTCCTAAAAAAATAATAATTATTAATAAAAATTTTATATCTCAATAATAGCTAAATATTGTAAAAGATAAGTATTTCCTTTTTCCTGAAATTATAAATAAAACTAACTTGTTACAAGTAGCAATTGTTACTATTGAGAAGAAATCAGTTTTTTGTAATATCTCTGAGGGATGTCAGAAAATAAAAAAATGTTTGCATACAGTACTCTGTACAGGTAAATTACTGCCATTTGTTCAAGGTCAATTTGTTCTCTATGTTAACTTAGCACACATAAAGTTTCAATACTGGAAAGCTTCTTGTTACTGTTTTGTGAAGGGCTACAAATGTGCACAAAAATTGAAAATCCTACCAAATGAAAAGAGCAAAATGTTATTTGTTTTCTAAATGAAAAGAAAGTTCATCCTACATAAAATTTATCCACAAATCATGGATGTGTATGGAGATCACATTATGAACAAAGTAAGTGTGAGAAAATGATGTTTAATGTTTAATCAAGAAAGATTATGTGTGACCACACTCTACCAAAGCCACTCAAGCTGTGCTCAAGCTAAGATGTTTTCAACACCCACTGTACAGTCCTGACCTGGCCCCAGTAATTTTTACCTCTTTTCCAAGCTGAAAGAGTTTTTGGGTAGATCTGGAACATTTTAGAACAGATGAGAAAAAAAAGCTGTCACTAACCAACTGAAAGAACTGGCAGTGGAAGTCTATGATAAAGGAGTCCAAAAACTAATGTCATGCTATGACAAGTGCTTTAATCATAATGATGACTATGTAATAAAGTAACTGATCTTGTACTAATTACTCAATAAAAATTGTTTCCTATCATTATATTTTCTTCCTTTTTTATAGCCAAATGTTGTTTACTTTCTGAATTCTTTTATAATTTCTCAACCATATCTATCCATATAAGAAGAAACTACATCAGTCATGGCTAAGTACAGACCACGAGAATCTTTTTATGCAGTGTACAATGTAATAACTATCATTTAAGATTTCTTTGAAAACTTATACAGCAAAATCTCATAGTAAAGCACAAAGAAATATACAATAGGAATAGAAGCATTACTGTATATTAAACACAAAATTTAGATGTTTTGCAATAGAAGTATCATATTAATAGAATAGGAACAGATATAATATGTTGTTATTTTGTATAAATTCATACAAAGAAAATACTTTTAAAGTAACTTTTACTTTAAAAGTAACTACTACAGATTGCTAATAAAAATAAACAATAGTTATGATAACTAAAACAAAATCTTAAACAAAATTTTTAGAATTATTCATCATTTGGGTTACTGTTTTCTGTAGGGAAATATTGAATATTTACAAGATTCAAAACAAAATTCTTTTATATTAAACTTTTGACTTTTGTAATAGTTTATAACGTACAATTGTTCTCTTTGAATTGTCAGAATGTTAATGTCAAATATAGTAGATCTGAAGATGGGAATGTAAAATCCGGAAAAATGCTTAATCTAATTAAATATTTATGACTCCTTCAACAGTTTCAAGTGTTTCTTTCTAATGTTTACACATTGAATTGTTTGTTCCTGTTTCATGTAAATTTTTGTGTTGTAATTATATTTTTTAGTAATATTGTCTTCTAGCTTGGTTGAAAAAAATGTTTGTTTGTTATTAATATACTGTTATATTGTTAATTTATATATGTTTTACTTAAATTATATTTAAACATTTATTATTTAGTTGTAATTATATTTTTATCAATATTGTTGCTTTAGTTGAAGTATGATCTTAAATATCTTACTTCATGAAATCACAAATGAACATCTTTACATCTTTTCAACAATGTTTTGGTTCAATTTGATTTAAAATTATTCAAAGTAAACACTTCAAATAACTTTAAATGAGTTTGAATCAAAACACTCTTATGTCTGAACAGCAGTTATAAAATAATCAAATTCAGCAGTAGCTTGATAAAAATCTATTAATAAGGCCAAAAATGTTTGTGCTGTATGAGACATTGCTGTAAAGTACAGATGTTCATTTGTAAATTTATTGTAATGTTTTCCAGTTTTGGTTTTATTATCTTATTTAAAATAGCTTTACATTTAAGCTTTTATTTATGTCCCATATCAACAAAGTATGCACTGTCATTCAGAATAATTAAATTTAAATATATAACCCAATGATAACTAGCTGAGAATGTTTGTTTATTTTTATATTATTTGCTGGACATTGACAATTTGATAGTAAATGAATACAAGAATAAAAATAATTTAAAACATAACAAGCAATTATTTTATTATGACATTATCACAATGCTGGGCTGCAATTTTTAATTTATTTAATTTAAAATATATGTTCTCCACCTCATATTATCGATAGTAGTGTCTTGCCCCTGTTCATCATACTTCTCCTGTTAGCAATAGAGTCATGTCAGTCATCTATCTAACTCCTTTCAGGGAAACATTTTTGAATTGAAATAATGTGACTTCTGGAAGTTCTTATATAGTTAATCAAGCCTCCTGCCCATAAGCTTTCCTTATCTGGTCTCAATTTTTATCTATCTAACTCTGTTCTCAAAATTATGGAAGGACAGACATACAGACAGACAGAAAGGTGGACAACAGTTGAAATTTACAAGTCAGTGATTTTTTCAAATTGCAGTCCAATGAGTATGTGATAAATAATAATTAGTTATCAAGATTGAAGTAATTAAAAATTTTGGAAAAAAGCAGAAACAAATTAAACTGTTAAAAGTTATTTAATAGCCAATATATTAATAATACTGATTTTATGTTCAATTTCCTAAGAAATGATGAAAGAAATGATGAAAGAAATGATAAATATTGTAAAATTACACCAAAATGCTTAAATAATTTAATCATATTTCATTTTTAATTTTTTTAAATATTTGTAATAATAATAATCATTTAATAGTACTGTACTTTAATAATAATAATAATAATAAACTGAATCTATATTCTTTAATCAAAATGCACTTTTCAATTTTTAATCTCTACTAAAGACCAACACTTTGTAAGTATTTAAAACAAATTATGTTTAAAATATTAAATCATGCTCTTTATAAAATTTTGTATTTATTGAATGATAAATGAGAAAATTTTAAAGAAAAATATAATGTAATTTTAATTACATTAAATTATATTTATGTATCACTTTTAATTAATAAGAATAAATTAGTTCATAAAAATTGCATAATTACTTACATGTACATTATCTTTATCACACATATCCCTATTAAAGTAAAAAATTTCATATTTAAATATATAAACCATATTTAGATTACAATTAATTACACTTAAACTTTATTTTTATATCAATTTATAATATTTAATTTAGTATTTTGTTTAGTTTTGTTAAAATGGATTTTATATCCTTTAATTTTAACTGTTATTCTTTTATCAGTTAATATATTTGGCAAAGTTGTTCTCTTAATTCTAAGAGGAAAATTTATTATTAATCTATGCCCAAATCATGTTAAATTGGTACCGAACTTTAATAATATTGCAAGTAAGCATACTCAGAGATCAAGACAGGGTGGTTTCATAAATCACCTTTTATACTTTTTTATATCCTCATCTTTAATTTTTCTTTTCTGAAAAATTGAAGATGAGGATATAAGAAAAAATAAGAAGGATCCAAGCCTGTAGTCTCTTTCAACATTGTATATAATTATCATTCATATTTACCTCCCATATTCTATATTGAAACATGTCTGTTAATAAATATATAAGTGCACAGTGACTTTCCAAACACCCTGTAGAAATCAAAGTACTTTGTTTATTGGTTGACATCCACTTCTAGCATAATAAGTAACAATAATTTTGTAGTATCCATAGTTACTTTTTTAAGAGTGAGATTTTCCCACCAATGCTGTTATTTGGTTATATTCCTTCTTTTTCTCAAGTTTACTAGTACATTGCCTTACAACAAAATGTCTCATCATAAGGCAACTTCACTGCTAATCAGCTTTACATTTTCACTCTGCTCATCAAACAATCCTCGTTTTACTTTCTCATGAAAAAATAGAAATATTGACCAGAGAAATATCCTGCTAGGTAGGTAAATAATGTGTATTTAACTACTAAATAAATGTTAGTACTAAATATTACACGTTTTGCAAGTAATACTTAGTAAGTTCTCCTTGTAAGTTAAACCAAAGCTTCAGAGCTAATTCAATTTTGCTTCTAGTTCAATTTCTCTCACAAATCATATTTTCATTGTTTTTTTCCTGCATTTATTTCAGTATAAATATATTTGTTATAGAAATTTAAAAAGAAGCAACACTAATAGCAATTAAAAACAAAAAAAAATTATTTTCATGATGAACTCAGGATATTTTCTTCAAATTAGAAGTTAAGACTATTTACAAAAATATTTAATTTTCGAGTCTATCCATTAATCCTTTTTACATAACCACATAAGTACCCGTTACATTGGTTTGAAGAAATAACTTCATTAAAAAACAAATAACAATAGGTAAAAATTTTTCACTATTAAAATGATCAAACGTCAGCCTTTTATTTGAGGATCTGATGCTTTAACATTAAAAACAATAAGTATATCTTCTCACTTTACTATCAAGTTTTTATCCAATTTGTATCAGGTTCTAGCCCTCTAGTGATCGATACAAGTTATCTTTTCATTTGCATATAGTTACAATTTTCATGAAGAACTCAGGATATTTTCTTCAAATTAGAAGTTAAGACTATTTCGACCACTAGAGGGCTAGAACCTGATACAAACTGGATAAAGACTTGATAGTAGGGTGAGAAGATTTACTTATTGTTTTTTATGTTGAAGTGTCAGATCCTCAAATAAAAGGCTTACATTTGATCATTTTAATAGTGGAAAATTTTTACCTATTGTTATTTGTTTTTTAATGAAGTTATTTCTTCAAACCAATGTAATGGNAATGTAGAGTGTATCTTTTATTCGGTCAGGCATCATCTAAAGAATTTATACCTGGATTGAGCACCTGGATCACAGGAGGTGTCATCTCGGTACTCAATTTGGTGAAAGGATATTAGTTGACCGGCGCGAATTATGACTAATTATTCGGAAGAAGGATTCACACAATGACATCTCTTCCCATTTATTCTCATTTGGAGTATAGGATTCTCTAAGCAAAAATACATAAACTAATTAGAAAAAAGAAAACCTTAATTATATAAGATTCATTGAGAAAATTTAACTACATATAATATTTTTAATAAACTAATAAAATTAAATAGTTTTATCTTAAAAAAATTAAAACTTTATACATACCTTGGACTATCGGCATCTAATAAAACAATAAGAAAAGATTCAGTTTCAATTTAAAAACTTATTAAATGCTAAATTAATACAAAATACTGTTTATATTGAGCATGTACAGTGAATGCAGAAAATATAACATGAGAGAATATCAAAATCTAAAACCTTTTTTAAAATCCTTTATCCAAAACTTTTTTATGTTTTGAATAAAGGATTCAAAATATCAAAGGATTCAAAATTTGGATAAAAACATTCAAAAATTATTATTTTTTGTGTAGTGTTATTAAGTTATTTAGAATTATATAGTGAAGTTCTTCCTCAGATCAACTCCATCTTGTTGAATTGGTTTGCCATGTTTGTTACAACTTGATATAGTTTGATCCAGGTTCGTTGGAAGAACACCTCCACACTCAAGTTAGACATTATTTACAGTTTATTTACAAATATATATGTAGAGTATACAGGTTGGAAAACACAGTAATTACAGAATACACAAAGTGTGGTACCTCAAGTACTAAATTGGCTTCAGGAACTATTAAACTCTGAAGAGTCTAGGTCAGCCTGTGGAGTGGCTCAACTGCACGGTTCGTCCAGCCTCTGCACTTAGGCCAAGATTCTACTAGTGTAAAAACGGGCGTAAAATCCTTCGCCATAAAAACTTTTAATCACATGACCTAGTTGCATTTGTGTCTGGATTGCAATGGAGGTCTGGCTAGCTAAGTTTTTATGGCGACGGTACTATCAAAGTTATAAAGACAATGATTATATTCTACGAGTTTTTTCTGCACTATAATTACAAATGTAGTAAAAATAATATCTTTACTTTCATATATTAACTTTTATTATCGTATTATTAATTAATATACAGCACTTATAAGCTTAACTTTTTTCATTATATACTCCTCTAAATTGAAGGATTTTCCTTCGGCCATCCGTATTGCGTGTTTTAGGCATCCATTATTATAATTGGGAAACCTCTTGTCATATATACATGAATACTTTTGGATGTTTTCAATAAATCTTTCCAGATCTATTCTAGAGTAGCCATGAGAGAACATACACAAAAGCTCGTTTACTGCCATTTTCGCACCGTGTCACAATGACCTAGATTTCACTGACTTCTGATTGATGGATGGTACCATTTTACGGCCATATTCATGTCAAAAGTTGAACACTGCTCAACTTACTTTTACACTGGTTTTACAACCTGCTCAAGTGTAAAATATCATGGTCACGTGATTAAAAGCTTTTATGGCAAGGGGTTTTACGCCCATTTTTATGCTAGTGGAGTCTTGGCCTTGCGTGTCCCTGAGATGTTTACCAGAGGAGTATGCCCTCTCTAAGCTCAGTGGGCTTCCCAAGTGCCTGAGACTACAGTGTACCCAGTCTCTTGCCCTTTTTTTCTCCTCTTCTGTTCACTCTGCAATTTAAGGATTTTCTGGACAAAAACTTCCGACCAATCCTAAACCTTTCTTGTGTGAACAGCTTTCACCCAGGTCTGCTTTTATCAGATGATAGTGAAGCTTACATTTAAGTCCTCTGATATTCCAACCCACTTGTTTACGTCCAGGAGTTCACCACCTGGCAAGTGGTCATCACTGGACCACACGTGGATCCAATTAGCGAGGTTGGCACTTCTTTCATTCCCTCTCAGTTTACAACTTTGTTTACAAGCCAATACTTTACATATATATTTTTTCTACTGTATATTAAATTTTTAATTTGTTACAATATAACAAGATAACATACTAAAACTTAATTTTAATACAAATATATTAAAATTTTATTAAATTAAAACTTACCTTCTCTTGATGATTTTGTGTGTAACTAAAAAAAAAGAAAAAATAAAATAATCATTTTAATAGCATATAAGATAATTTACATATTATATAATGCAAAATCCCTCATTTTTAGCTACTTTCTCTGCCTTTAACAATAGTTTCAATTTCAATTCACATTCCTGTCACTATATATAAAATTATCACTCTAATTAACATTTTTCTTTTGTAAATACTTTAAATCACAGTATTTGAGTTTTAAGATTATTCTGCAAATGTTATAAATAATAAAATTAATCAATATATTAAAAATATCACATATTACTGAAATTAAATAATATCTGAAATATTATAACCAACCCAGGATTTATATATGAACTAGACCACCCAGGACCCATCAAGTCACACACTATTTAAAATTTATAAAGAATAGAAAATACTGTAATAGTAGTGTTTTATGGATGTGTAATGCCTCTGCATATCTTGTTTTATCATAACCTTGTTCATCTCAGACTTAAGCCTTGGTCCACAAGACAAGGTGAGAGTCGATGCCATAAGCATGGCTTGGAGAGCTTTTTGAAATGTATGCAAGTGACACTATATGAACTCTTAGCATGAGCATTGGAGATAATGCTCATATTCAGCTATTAAATATTTCTTCTTATATTTTTATTATTTTATTATATATGTTTTACACATATATCTTTATATTTTCATTTATTCATAACTTCAAATGTCTGACTATCAACATTTGAAATATTTATTCTAGAATGTTTTAAAAATTTTTGTTCTATACAAATGCAACTGACATTCAATTTGTATTTTTTCCTGAAGAAAGTCAGTAAAATATAATGAGTGTATATTGGTCAAAAGATTTAAAAGTGTACAGGTAATAAACAGACAGCCATTCTATTTTATATATATAAATAATAAAATTTAAATAATTAGAACGCATATTATCTATCTAACCAAATTTATAGTTATGTACTATTCTACCCATGACTACTGCACCAATTAACCCATTGGATGATTTAAGTACTGTATAGTTAAAACACAGTAATTGTAAAGTTTAAAAAGTAACATCATACAGAATGATGTCATCGACAGAAAATATGGTAACTCAGTTATCTGTCACCTGATTTTAATGAAACTTGTTTTATTTTGTTTTTATTCTCATTTGGAGTATAGGATTCTTTAAATAGCAGAATTTTGTGTCATTTTTCTGTATTCAATTATAACCAACCAAACAATCGCAGACATTTAGTAGATATGTTGCATTTATCTTGCCAATAGGTAAGAAAGTCAAACTTTGATATTTCACTTCCCTATTGATTTCTGAGGCAAATTATAATGAAAAAAGAAAAAATTAAGAAATCATTAAAATTAATAATATAATGATAAATGATATGTTGACTTACACATTTTTTATTAAAATTTTTTATGTACAGTAGAACTCTGTTAAGAAGTTTTAGAAGAGACCATTCTAAAAAACTTCTTACATAGATATACTCTTATGCAGGAATTGTAAAAAAATAATTTTTTATCTGCATAACAAATATTATTTTAATATCAAGATAATATAATATAGTATAGTGTAGTGTAGCATAGTAGAAAAGTAAAATGCACTGACTACAACAAGTGATGAAGTGACTGGTGTTAATATAGGATCAGATAGGAAGTATGGTCAAAACAATAAGACCTCAGCTAATTTAGTGACTACTGTAGGTGTGTGGGTGTTTGATATACAATATAGTAAAAAATATCTGGAGTTACTTTACTAAAACTACTATTTTCATAAGTGATAAAGTTATGGTGAGGAAAGAGATTATAATATGTCTTCAACAGAAACTTCTTAAATAGGTAAAATATCATCGATGGGACTTATGTTTTGAATTTCTTATACAGGAAAACATATTATATGGGAACTTGTTATGCAGAAAATTTTAACACACATCTTAAGGTGTAAATGGCAGGACTGGAGAAAATAGACTTCTTATGCAGGTACTTCTTAAATAGGTTCTACTGTATTTAACATTGATTCTGTAAATTTTTATAAAAAAATAGCACAGTGTGAGAACTTTCAGAATCAGAAATTGCTAGTAGCATTGGTTTTTAATATGTATTATTATTTATTCTGTCAGAAGTTTTCAGTATTTTCTACTCAGAATTTTACCCATTTGTTTAAAATCAATTAGGTAAAATTCAAAATATAGTCTTGGAATAATTATATAGTTGTTAATCTAAATACATTATTAATAAGACTGAATATAAATACCTAGACTTGTATAACAGGTATTTAAAATAACATCTAACAACTATAGTCATTTGTTAATAATATCTATTTTCAAAAATAATAAATCTTAAACTAACATAATCTAAAAGGACACAGTATAGAATATCTAAATAAATAAAGTTTTAAAAATAAATCTCTGATGAATTGGCTTGTTCTCTTTCAACATTCAAATTACTAATTACTAATAAAATTAACTTTTCCATAGATACCATGTACACAATTATTCCAATTAAAATAGCATAATAGAACAGCAGTTCATAAGCAAATTCAGGGTTATGGAATATCAGAATGAGATGCAAAATAAGGTCTGTATTCCAAAAGCCCCTGCATTGCTGGTAAACAAACGGGACGGAGGGCAACGGGGGTGATAACGGGAAACGGGCAACGGAGTGATAACGGGAGAAATAACGGAAATAATGATGAAAGAAACATACAACTTTGCTTCGTACTTAATAAAATTCTCTTAAGAGAGTCAGATTTTCACATAACTCCCCACTTTTTTAAAAATCCTACACCCTTGGTGTGATTTTTCCTTTTAGTCGTATTTTGAAATTCTCGGAGAGTCATATTCTTGTCATATTTTATCCCTTTCATTTTGACGTCGTTTCATATGAGTGTTGAAGACGAATTTCCAATGACTTTATCCATAAGCTCGACTTTTAATTCTGTTGAAAGGTAAAACTCTGGATTTGAAGACTTCGCAGATCTCTGTTCGCCTTTCGGGGGGGAATTTTTGTATCTCCGACATATAGAAAAAAAGAAAAAGTAAAATAAAGGGACAAAAAAAATTCTGCTAAATACGCGAGAAAGTCTCTCTCTCTCAAATAAAGAGACATAAGCTCCGACAAAAACTCACAAAAAAAAAACAACAAAAATGAAATTGCGCGATAAAAAAAATTTTGCGGTTACAAAAAACAAATAGATGAAATAAAGGATACAAAAATATAAAGGTGATCGACTTACGCGTACAATTTTAGAGAATGAAGTCGACTTAATAGCTGTCCTGAAAGAAAAGGAAATATCGCTAACCGGCACTACAGTTAGTCATCAGATATGAACAATGTTCCTTTGTGACCGTTTCATCGCATGGGATAGTTCTCCAGATAGGGGTCACAGAACAATCTCATCTTTTCCTGTGTCCTGGTACGATGTTGTCGTCATAGGAAAATGCACTGATTCCCACCCATCAAATGTGAAGATAGGCGTCAAGATCGAAAGGGTATCGTCGACGTCCGAAGAGCATTTCCAAGAGTTAATAATTATGAATAATGATGAATAGTTACAACATCACCATGATACTCAATCGTTTTTATTAGGTGCTCGAGGCACATACTCAGCACCGCAAGAGCACAGCTGAGAAAAATTATATACATTTACAATAGTACATATTAACACTGTATACAAAACTGTGAGTTAAATACAAAATATTACAGAGAGAATAATTAATACATTAATAACATTAATACAGAATAACAATGAAATATTATTACAGAATAGCAATGTATACAGAGTTATCATATGTAGAAAATATTGCAGACAAAGTATTTAGAACTTAATAACTAACATAAGAAAAATAAACTTAATAACTAAAATTAAAGCTAAGAGAGAGTTCAATGGAATAATATAGAGGAAAAGTGTGCAGAGAAAACACCAGGAGTAACTCCATATTCTCTTGAAATAAGTCCGTTATGGAGATACCACAAAACTCCTTGGAGTAAACTTGTCCACAAGGGCCTCCAAGACACCTTGAGTACTTGTAGAACAAGTTTTGCAGAACAAGTCTTGCAGGACAGAACCACCAGGAATAACTCTGTATTCTCTTGAAATTAGTCTGTCAACTGGCAGCCTGTTGATTGCAGGCCACCAGCTCGAAAAAAATATATATCTCACCTTTGCATTAAGGTGTGCCGTACTGTGATTCCTTGTGTTTACATTGGTTCTCGATACAGGAGGGTTGCTTATTCCGAGGAGAAATACGTGGAGTTACGATAGGAGGAGAACTGGTCCGACGGGGAGGAGTGTTCCTGTCGCCAGTACTAGGCATCTCATCTCTATCTAAATATGGTTCCACGGGGCGTGCTCCAACGGAATCTGGTCTGATTTATTTAGAACATTATTACAAACAAGAAAAGGTTCTCTCTGGTAGCAGTTGGTGCAATAATAGCATGCTGTTTGACTAGTCTATAAAATGATTTGAAGATCTCTTTATTCATTAACAGCTCTTCATGGCCAGTTTAAGTTGTAACTTTAACAGTAAATTCTAAGGCCAAGCGTTCAGCTTCCATCACCATGATACTATTAAACTTATCAGTCCCGCACTGATGCTGTGTTTATCGTTCACTTCGTTTATCGTAGGTACACAACCCTAAGATGAGCAATCTCGCCGGCCCAATGACAAGAGTTGCTATTAGGTTCGTGATAGAACCGGTCGTCGTCATTATTAAAGCATCTTAATCCATCCTTCGATAGCAATTCTCTTAAAACCGATTTGGTGCGTTTGATTTCTTACCAACATAGTAAGTCGTAAGTGGCATAAGGGTTAAAGTAGGTTTGTTACCTTGAACCCTTGCTTTCGCCCAAAAGGGCGTAGGGCTTAAAAGAGCCTATCGTCGGAGAAATATCATCCGGGGATTGCCCAAAATACGCACCAAAAGGATCAAAGGAAGATATAAATCAAAAGATTTTATATCAAGTCAGCCTGAAGCCTCAGAAGCTGAAAAGCTTGCCTAGAGAGAGAAGACTTGTTTCCTTCCAGA